ATGTACAAGTGCCCTTCCTGGAGGCACTTTCCCAAATCCCTAAGTATGCGAAGTTCCTAAAAGATCTTCTCTCAAAGAAGCAGAAGCTGAGTGAATCTACCGATCCCAGCAACCAAAATCGGATACGAGCATCCACTACTAAAAACAATACATATAGCCACAAAATGTTAGCCGCAATTTTTATAATTGTAGCTAGTGTATCAATATAGCCACAAAATCTTTCGCCCGGTAGCTAATTGCAATTTTATTTGACTATTGTGCTACAAAAGTTATTCTAGATAGCTAGTGTTCGTTTTTAGTTTTGAAGAATGAATATTGTAGCAATAATTAGACTTTTAGCTTCTAAATTACTTGCCACCACTTGAATTTCACGCTGCTTATAATTTGTAGCCTCAAAAGATTTAATTCATGACAATATACCATCACTGCATCATGGTTAGCCACGAAATCAGAACATGCGGCTGAAGCTTACTCTATAGTTACAAATATTATTAATAGTAGGTAATCTAATGATTCTATAGCTTCAAATGATTGATGTTTAGGGCAAAACTTTATAAGGAACTCAACTTACCGCTTTTCTTTAACCGAAATGATGTTACCTTTTGGCTTTTGCCACACTAAAACAACTGTACCTCAAGTGATTTTGTTATGAATTAAGTTATAGATTTCTCGTATATGATGAAAAACATGTAGTATGCCACTTGAATATAGTCATATATATATAAATAACTATCTCTTACGAGAGAAAAATAATTTTCATGGTTGAAAGAAGTGAGAAATTTTGCGAGCTTTAATTATAAAATGAGACATAACGAGACATTTTTATTTTTACCTTTTAGAAGACAAAAATAATTAAAAATTGTGTTCTTTCAAATTTTTTGAAAACAAAGAAGAAGAAAATTTGAGTGTTTTGAATTTATAGGAGAAGAACATAAATTTTGGTGTTTCCAATGTTTTGGGAAAAGAAGAAAAGGATAAATTTTACTTTGTATTTTTGGTTTTTCAAAATTTTACTTTTAAATATGAATATGTAATTTAATGTGGAGGGTATGCAAATTAACTATATTATAGCCTTATATGGAATCACTAATTGACTATATTATATTATATTAGAGAATTCACTATGAGTTATCTCATCTTCAATATAATATCACTTTAACATTCTCAAATGCAGGTTATTTATATTATAGATCATATACTTAATTACCTATTAATTTGATTATCATAATATTTATTTACGATGCTTTATAGTAGATTTGAGAACATATCACTAGCCATCACCTGAATGCTTATGAAGTTACTTATTATAAGTTTTCATTTTAGACTGCATATGAGTTTTCACTTATGTATTATATGCTACATCTTTTAATTTGTGGTTGTAATAGAACTATTAGATGACAATGTTTACCTCACCATAACTATATTAACTAGTGTACGTTACCAATTATCAACTACATGGAAAGTTTCGTAAGTAATACGATTCCAATAACTAAGTTATCTTAAAGATCAAAAAATTAATTCAACCTTTGATAAGGTTCTTTAACTTTTATAAGTACATTCACAAGGTAGAAAATAATTGTCTAAAAAGTGCGAAACATATTTTCAATGAGTGTACTAATAATGTGTAAGTTATAACGAGTAAATATAAATTAATACAATGTGTTGAGTCGTACAATCCACAACCTGATCCGCTTAGAACTCGTCCGACCCGTAACCCTATTGACCCGCAATCCAATGAACCCGCAATGCAACTAACTCGTAACTCGATGAATCTGAAACCGACTTACTCGTAACCTGATAACATGAACTTGACTGACCCGCAACCCGATGAACTTGAAACTCAACTAACTCGTAATTCAATCGAACCTAACCAGAACCCGCCCGAATGACATCTCTATTTATAGGTGAAAATCATAAATTACATTACATGATGATAAATAATTCGTTTTCCACTTGGATATAGTCATATACAAAAAGATTCACTCTTTTTGCGAGAAAAGAATAAATTTTCATGACTATAAAACAACCTAGGGATATCTTTCTTTCTTTTTTTAACATGGAGAGATATCTTCTAATCTAGTCATATGCGTTGCAAGTTTGTAATGCTGAAAATATATTTAATTAAAATGAAGGAGAGAGGAATAAAATTACCACACATATTGCACTCAAATAAGGAAACTTTTATTTTACTTGATTCGTTAGGACTTCTTTTTCCTATGTAATTAGAGGCGTGTTTGACGTCTTTCTCCATATAGTACTTTTTATAATAAGTATTATCCATATCCCAAAGGACCCAAACATATCACAATTGAAAATTTGAGCGGAAACAGAAGCGGGAAGGGCAAATTTGCGAGCTTTTATAAGAGCAATCATCCATTCTCTCAATTAATCGCTTGATTGAGAGCTTCAATTCCTGGAAAGCAAAACACCGGTCGAGGTAATTTGTTGAATTTTAGTTTCTGAGTAGAACTGATTTTACTTGATTGGCTTCATTTTCTTCCTATTCCTCTCAGCTCAATAAACCAAGTTACATGTATGCTCGTTTGTGTTTATCGCAATGTTCATCTTTCAATTCTTCTTTCCTCTAATAATTGTTTACATCTTTTTTCTTTTTCATTCCCGTTACAGTATTGGATCCAAAATTTGCCTAGTAATTCTATCGACTACCTCCCATGCTTTCATCCGTATGTTTTTTGGATTGTAACCATTAGTGCTCTCATTTCTAATACCTAGCAAACCTAATTGGCTAAATCTGTTTTGAAGTCAACCAGGGCCGAGCAAGCAACTAATCAGCGGATTTTGCTAAATGTTATTAGGATTTTGCTACACCAACATAAAATTTGTAGCAAGATCTATTACGGGTTTGGCTATAATATATATTTTTTGTGGCTAAATTGTTATATTCTAGCCACGTAAGTGAAAACATGTGTAGCTAACTTTTAGCTGCGCCACCTCTAGCTACGCAAGCTACGAATTGAAAATTTTGTAGCTAAATAATTTAGCCATAAATTTTTTATGATTTAGCCACGAAAAACAATATAGCTATATGTGTGTTTTCTTGTAGATATCACTTTGATTCCAGGTTGCAATTTCTTGAGCAGATGTAGTCGCGGCTGGAGGTCTTGGTACGATTCCGTCGAGTATTCCAAGCATGCCTCTTCCTTCGACAAAAACTCTGAACTGGAACTCCAATAAGGCGTAGTTGGCTGAAGTGAGACGGACAGATGGTCTTTCAGATTCGATTTGTGTTGGCTCTGATATCATATTAATGGATTGACAATAATGGAAATAAAAGAAGAAGGCAATCAATTTACGTGGTATCCCTGGATTAACCAGGACTAGTCCACGGCAGAGCTAGAAAGCTCTGCAGCTAATGATTTTACTGATTGGAGATTTCGGAAAATGATAATGGCAATATCTGTTGCTCTACAAACATATAGTGGCCGAACCCCAGGAGCTAGGTTTCCTCACGCCAAACGTAGCTCGTATGGGCTGCATGGGCCTAATTACGTCATTGGCTTTTCTATACTACACATACATATCTGAACCCTCTCCTTCTTCTTCTGCTTCCATCATCATCATCTGACAATGATGACGATTGGCTTCGAATCCTTGGCCGCCTTCCTCTGCTTCGTGATCATCCATCACCATTCTCATTCTCAATAGTCACATGCTCAGGGGGGATGACAAAGCCGCACGAATTGAGGGTACGTGAGAATTCAAACATTATGCATGGAAATGAGATCGACTGGTGCTTGCATGGGAAGCATAAGTGGAGTTGTGAATTAAAACGTGAAGGCACCATGGGAGAAACTGGCTCTACAAGATCCGTATGGCAGCGGTTTGCCGGTAGCGGTTTTCACCCCCGCTGTCGCAAAAAATCCCCTCGGCCCAACAGATTCGACTGAAGCAGTGGTTTGGTTTATCAAACCACGAGGAATTCTTCCATGGTCCCGGCGCACCACGTCAGACATCCCATGTGGTGCTCCCCACCATTAATTAGTTGACACCTGGAATTAGTATGGATGACAACTTGTTCTCATTAACTCCCTTTTATAATTAATTTATATTTCCTTATTTCTATTCTTTTATTTTCTATTCTTTTATTCGCCTTCTTATCTTCTTTCATCTCTCTTCTTCCCCTGCGTCTTCTCTCTTCCCCTGTCAAATTCCCCATCTATGTTATCTGTTCTATCAATTCTTTATCTTTTATGTTCTGAATAATTCCCAATTTATCTTTCATGGTTGTGCTACTTGCCCTCACAAATTGTGAACACGATTTAGGATTCTTATCATGGTCATCACCAACTCCAGTGTGAAATCCCCAAATCAAGCAATGCAATTCCGACCACACGAGGACGTCGGCAAGAAATATGAAGGGGATCCTTGACAGTTGACAGAAGATCTATGCGGGTTAGTGCTGGACATATGTGAAAGAATGCTGCGAGTATGTTCTCCTTCGTCTTACGGTTGTATTCGTTCAAATTTCTCGGTTGATGTATGCTTGGGTGGTTGTACGGATCCAAACATCGATAATTCGACATGCATGATTGATTTGGTTCTAAGTTGTGCTAGCAAGACATTGGTGGTTTGGGCTTGTATTATGATTTGGAAGCATTGTTTTGGTGGTCGTTTAGTGGTTATATTTTCAATTTCAAATGTAATATAATGATTCAATTGAATGGGTATAAGTAATTTTAGATGGAAGCAGTAGCATATACATGTTTTCATTAGAGGGATGTTTGCCTGATTTTAGTAGAGAGTAGAGACCATAAGTGATCTATGTAGAGAAACAAAGTTGTGAATTCTTAATGGGAAGTAAATTGCAGTAGCATTTTTAGAACCAAAATCTGCAATTTTTTACAGCAGCAACATCGAACACGGAAAAAAGTAATTGAGCAAAACAAGTTGTAGATTGCATAATATTCGACAATCAAGTTAAACTTGTACTAACCAACTGAAATGGTTAAGACATAACGATCACAGTCAAGTTGGAAATAGTAGTTCCATGCCCATGAGTGGTCTAAAATGCAATGTAAGATAAAAAAAATTCAAGGGAGTTCCTGAGCAGCAACGTTCAGGTCCCATTTCCTGTTTCTGAAGTCTGCAATCATGATAAAATGTAGGATGATATGTTAGAGAAATGAATCAAATAATCTTCAACTAGGGGAAGTCAAAAAATCATTATATTTTTCTTAGTTAAAGGATGAACCTGATTTGCATATAAGAATGGCCACACTGAATTTTCTGGGTATGATTGAGGCAAAGCATTCTGTAATTGTGATAAGTAAATAATCAGCCATGATAAGTTGTTGAACACAGTTTTGGACATATTTTGTAGGGTAAATCATGAACCTGATTAAGAAGACCCATTGGACTTGGACTAGTATTTGACATCATATTCATGTAGGAAAGGTTTGGAACTGACCCGCGCTGTCAGAACATTCAATATTTATTAGACGTAATGTACACAAAAGTAGGTGAAACTAAAAAAAAAATGGAAGAGATAAGCTACCTGTGGTTCTGCTGCAAAATTATTGAAACCAGTAGCTTGAGGCAAACTAAATGGTTGCTCTCCTAATGCAAAATTGTTGAGTCCAATAGGTTGAGGCATACTAAAACTTGGCATTGACTACATATTGAAAACATTATCCGATAATTGAAATCTCATATTCAAGAAAAAACCCAAAGAACCATTGGAATCACTAACAAGTTAGATTGACACGTACCTGTGGAAGAGTTTGCCAATGTAGGGTCCTACCAGGGTTCCTTTGGCTTTGTTCAGGTGCATTTGTTTGAGGCTTTTTCCCTGGAATGCCCTCTTAGTAGTTTCTTAATAAAACAATAATTCTAACAAATAAGGAGGCACTAAATATGAAATACTTACTTGATGAAGTTTTTCCTGATTTTGGTTTACGCTTCTCAAAGTGTCCTTTTACTCTACCATTCGATCCTTTTGACTTAGCTTGAGGAGGATCTAATACTGGGGTTTCATTTGCTTCTGAATCGCCACCTTCTTTCTCAACATGGTTACCCATGTCTATTTTAGCTAATTCTTGCTCGACTTTCAACTCAAGATTCAACAAACTTTCTTGACATATTTTCCTGATGTTTTCATGTTGTTGACTTTTATATATGAAACCACTCGCTATACGCATCATAGAGCTTCGCCAAACTATTTCTGCTTCTTCGGTTTTAATAGAAGCTGGATCTTTCTCATACTCCATCATTCCTCTTTTTGCCTCTTTGGTCCAGCGTCTCAAAATATAGTCTGTGGGTAGCTTTGTAATGTTCCTGATATTAAGAATTTTTAAAGCATGACAACAAAGTATCCCCTTTGCCTCAAACTTCTTGCAGGAACATAAAACCTCATTCTTCTGCATATCAAAATGCACTGTACGAACTCTACTACGCCCCTCTTCTTTCACCTCATATGTGTATGTCGACCCATCAGTACCTGATTCTGTCCATGTAGTTGCGATGCTAGATAGAAATTCTTTCTGGAACACCATGTACATAGTAATGGTATATACGTCAGCAGCATGTGCTAAAATACCAGAATGTTTAACCATCAATGGTGGAGTACCTTGCTTACAGCGAAAATCCTCTTGTTGCTCCCTTGAACGCAAATTCGCAACTAGATTATCAAACTGGATAGTGAAATCAGTAAGATATGTGGTTTTCCCTGCTATACCATTCAAAAGATTATTGGTACTTTCACTTCTCTGAGATGATCTAATGCCGGCAGAAAAGTAATCATTACTGTAAACTGTGCTCCACTTTCTTCGAATTTCATACATGCCATTAAGCCAACTATGACTTGCAATGTCATATATTTCATCCATTTTAGCCCAGGTGTCTTCAAATTCTTTCTCTGACTCGCATCCTGTACAACACTTGTTCCACAATTCCAGAAACGCTGAATCTCCATTTAGATCACCAAAATGAGAAGGTGCATTCTTGCTAATGTGCCATAAGCATAAACGATGTGTGCTGTCATCAAAAACCTCCTTGATTGCCTTTGCCATAGCAGCATCTTGATCAGTGAAGATGGTAACAGGAGATCTATTTCCCATCGACTCTAAAAAGGCCTTGAATAACCACCCAAATGTTGCAGCAGTCTCATCTAATATGAAGGCACAGCCAAATATTGTATTCTGCCAATGATGGTTCACACCCACAAATGGTGCACAAATAAGATTATATTTATTTGTGCGATAGGTAGTGTCGAATATCATAACATCTCCAAAGCAATCATAATCAATTCTGGATCTCCCATCTCGCCAAAAGAAATTAGTCAAACGATTATTTTGGTCGACTTGTACGGCATAAAAGAACATTGGGTCTAATGCTTTCTTCTTCTTGAAATAATTCATCACGTTTTGAGCATCCCCTGCTTCAATTTTCACCATCTTTTGTCTATCCACATGATTGTAACAATCTTTTTGCAAGAATCCAACATTTTGAGCTCCTCCATGTTCTTTGCATAAGTATGAATAAGCATCTCTAGTGCGAAGCCCTGCGTCTTTCATCGTGTCAATCACTCTTGCCTTAGCAGCTGAAACCTTACGGCCTGATTTGAGTAGATGTTGCTCCGATGGCAAGGCAAGTTTGTGATTATGTGTCGGGTTGAAATCTGTCACCTTCCATACCTCATTCTCTATGCTGAACCGAATAAAGGCTTTACACCTAGTTCTTGTTACCATCCTATTCACCTTTTTTGCCTCACACGAGTCATCATTCATGCTAGTTCCTTGTTTTGAACATAAAAACTCACGCTGAATTATTTTCTTCGTTGTAGCAGAATGTCTGTATTTGCCTCGGCGGACACTAAACCCAGTCCTCAAAGCATAATTATTGTATAGATTGTAAGCTTCCTCTTCATTAGAAACCACTCTCCCATATAAATTATCATCATCACTAGCAACCCGAGTAACAAATTGTTGAACCTCATCATGTTTGCCATCAACATTTATATTTTCTTCAATATCCATCCCTAATTAAATAAAGGCCAAATACAACTGTTATCTAGTACGACAAAGAGGAACAATTACTTTGCAGCCTAGTATTAGAAAAATTAACCGCACAATTGATGTGCTGCCTACTTTCCTAGCATAATTACAGCAAAGAGGTATCCAGATTAACTAGAATTAGGGTGAAAAACAAATATCCAATTGGCTACTGCTCCTGTATGTTGGTATGCATATTTAAGACCATAAAATTGAGATGGAAGTAGTTTACCTGTCGAGATTAATTGAAGAAGAAGAGAACGAACAGTGCGACTTAACTTCTGGGAAACGGCTGATGGTTTACGGCGGTGGTGAGCGATTAGTTTTTTGTCCCTCTTTCTGATTAGGGAGCAAACGCCAAACGATGCAGGGGCGGAAATCAGAACGTGTTTACGTTAAAAGAGGAGTTCGTTTAATTAATTGTTCAATTTCCCCAAAATATTAATTAGCTATGAGGAATTCTTTACTGACAATTGCTTGTTTGGTCAGAAGAGTCCTCTAAATTTTTTGTCTTACATTAGTGATTTGGGTCCATTTCTCTATATATGTACTTCATTTTAGATTGTACTTAATTAGCTTTTAATGACAAGTGTCTCTTTATTATTGGGCCGGAGCACCAAATATGATAGGTGACGTGGTGAGCCGGGATCACCTAAGAATTCCTCATCAAACCACACCATAGCTGCGGCGGGAAATCTGCGCGGGCCTTATCTTTTTTGGGTTTTGGGTAATTAAAATATTAAATTTCCAATTTTAATTATCTATGTGTGGTTGTAGATCGATCTTGTAAGAGTGTGGTATAAGATCCAGCATAATCTTCTCCCAACAACTTGAGTTATTGGGACAAACTGGTTTATGACATGGTATCAGAGCTGGTTTGACCAAGTGGTCGTGTGTTCGAATTTCCACGACCCCCAATATTAACAGTTGATTAAAGCACAAGGTATGGTGGGCTTGTGCAAACTTCAAGCCCATGGGTTGGCTTTCGTTTGAAGGGGCGTGTAAGAGTGTGGTATAAGATCTAGCATAACCTTCTCCCAACAACTCGACTTATTGTGACCAACTACTTTATGACAGATCTCTTGGCCCCCTCTGAAAGGAAACAATCCCCAACTTCATTTCAAAAAATCGAGCTCTCACAACTCTGCCGTCGGACCTCCTTGTCAATCTGCTTAAGTCGCCGGACCTCCCGCTCGCCAGACCTCCTGCTTGGTCTGCTGTCAGAACTCAGTCCGCGGCCAGTGACGATCTCTGTTCGATTTTTTGTATTTAGCAGGATTATGGAACTATGATTCAGCTTCGACCTGCAATTACTCTGTAGCTATGTACGTGATCGCTTTACCATCTGATAAATCAAAAGTTTCAATATCAGTCCGCTACCACAAATCAGTCCGCCGCAGTGACGATCTCCATTCGATTTTGTGTATTTAGCAAGATTCCGCAACTCCGATTCAGCCTCGACCTGGAATTACTCTGCAGCTAGGTACGTGATTGCTTTACCATCTAATAAATCAAAAGTTTCAGAACTCATAATCGATTAATCGATCAAATTGCTAGGTGCGATTCTCTTGTATGCTTAATTGAGTGTTGATTTTTGTACTCGTATATGAAAAGCTCAATTTAGGGTACCAAGTCCTACAGGGACACTTCTCTCCAGTTTCTAAAATTCCTCTATCAAAACATGTAGTAATCAAGAAGAGTGTGGTGGATGGCTGTCCTAAAGCCAAATACGCAGCTGAAAGAATCCTGCAAAATTGCTCCAGAAGCTCATGAGCAGGTATAGTGTTATCTTGCCTTTTTGTGCCTTTAGTCTATTCTAGATCTCCATTTAAGCAATCCACAAAAAATTAAGATATGTTTGAGAGAGAATTGTAATACAATGGTCTAATAATGAAGATAAATATCCAACTCGTGAGGGAAAGGCCAGGGGAATCTTATAGTAAGGAGAATTGGCGTGGAGAAACAGGTTAGCTTTGGCATCTTGGCCATCTTTTCACAATGCGTAGGTAGTAATACGGTAGTCTAATGGTCAAGCTGACATAAAAACTGAAGAAGGAAAAACCAGGGGAATTTTTCGAAGCTTGTTATGATGGTCTGGTTTGCTCCGACATTTCAGGCATCTTTTCTCGATGTTTAAATTGGTAGATCAAATTGGGTTTGAAAACTGGTGACATCTGACAAAGTTCTTTATCTGAAAATCAACACTCAATTACGCTATTTAAATGTAGGCATCTTTGCTTTCTTATAATCTGCTACTGCTTTCTCTCTAGCCTGATTGATGTCAAACATCTTGTAAATCAATTTTGTACTCTCAGTTGTTTGTAATTACTTGTACCCTCACAGATGGAAATGATTATGTATGTATGAAGTATTGATGATAATCAATGTGTGCTTATTTGATTTCTTATTGTAGTACTGATCAAGAAGAATAAGAGAAAGGAGAAAGAAACTTGGCATTAACAAAAATCTAAAAAGTTATAATAGGTATGGAACCTTTGCTATTGATTTAGTTGTCACTGTTTGCAATTGCATACTATTGTCTTCATTGAAAGCAAAGTTTGTCCCTACAAAAAGAACTATCAACCAGTCTGCATATACAGGGTTTGCAACTGGTGTATGTTGTGTTATGTAGCATTGCCTTTTCTAATGATTATGAAGGTAACTATTATTGCATTGATCATGAGACATTAATCTAATTGCAGATCCATAACTAATGATTTTAGGGAAAATC